CTCGCCGCTTGACGACTTCGTCCGTCTGGAGAGCTTCTTTCTTCATATGATCAGACTTACATGTAATATTCTTTCTGTTAGCAAAGGTGAAAAACTAGAGATTTCTGCATAGTTATGGAATTGTTGATGGCAGTCCAAGTGTTATTTAGACAATTTTCTTTCTAAATTGGTAAGTCGAGTTGGAAATTAGATGTGATGGAAGAAATAAATGCTCTTAAAAGAAATAACACTTGGACAGTCATTGATCTACCTAAATCATTGATCTACCTAAGTCATTGATCTACCTAAAGACAAAAAGACGGTTGGGTGCAAATGGGTGTTCACGGTGAAGTTTAGAGCTGATGGAAGTGTGGACAGATAAAAAGCGAGACTAGTAGCAAAAGGATTTACTCAAACTGATGGTATTGATTACCAAGAAACTTTTGCTCCTGTTGTTAAAATTAACTCTATTAGAGTACTTCTTTCTCTTGCAGTTAACTTCGACTGACCACTTCATCAATTTGATGTAAAAAATACATTTTTAAATGGAGACTTGCGGTAAAAAGTATATATAAACCTACCACCCGGATTTGAAGAAAAATTTGAAAAAGGTAAAGTATGCAAATTAAAAAAATCCCTGTACGGGTCAAAACAGACTCCTATAGCTTGGTTTGAGCGTTTTGGTGATGTTATCAAGAGACATGGATTCTCTCAAAGCCAAGCTGATCACACTCTTTTTCAAACACTCCATCAAAGGTAAAATAGTCATTGTGATTGTGTACGTAGATGACATAATCATGACAGGGGATGATACTCTGGAGATTAGCAACATGAAGAGAAAACTTGAAGCCGAATTTAATATTAAGGACTTGGGAAAGGAATGGAGTTTGCAAGATCCAAGGAGGGAATTTTTGTCAATCAACACATGTACTTGATTTACTCAAAGAAACATGAATGACAGGGTGCAAGGCAGCAGATACGCCAATTGAACCTAATATAAAGTTGAAAACAGCAACAGTTAATGAGGTAATTGACAAAACACGCTATCAAAGATTGGTAGGGCGACTAATCTATTTAGCTCACACTCAACCTGACATAGCCTTTACAGTGAGTGTTGTGAGTCAATTCATACATTCACCTAGACCTACTCATTTCGAAGTTGTATTCTGAATTTTGAAATATCTCAAAAGAACTCCTGGAAAAGGACTTTTGTTCAAAAAGGGGGAACATCTTCTAATAGGGGCCTACACAAATGCAGACTGGGCAGGAGATCTAAATGATAGAATATCCAGACCATGTTATTGTACCTTTGTAGGCGGAAATCTAGTTAACTGGAAAAGTAAAAAACAAAGTGTGGTAGCAAGAAGTAGTGCTGAAGCATAATTCCGTTCGGTGGCACATGGACTTTGTGAAGTATTATGGATAAAAAAACTCCAAGAAGAGTTGAAAATTTCTATATCAACACCTATTAAAGTTTACTGTGATAACAAGGCTGCAATCTCCATAGCTAATAATCTAGTTCTACATGACAAAATAAAACATGTAGAAGTTGACAAACATTTTATCAAGTAGAAGATAGATAGTGGTGTGATATGTATGTCCTACATACCCATTGCTAGCCAAACAGCAGATATTCTAACAAAAGGCCTTTCTAAAATGCAACACGAGAATCTAGTTAGCAAGTTTGCCATGAGTGACATCTTCATGCCAGCTTGAGAGGGAGTGTTGAAAGATCTCATAAATAATTATGATTATATTTCATATTTGTTATAACTCTATATTCAGAGGGTGATAAATTGTATAAGGGATCTTAGGAATCTCTATTTATTTTTTCTCCTTATTTAGAGAGATCAGTTGCCTCTTATATTTGATATTATTTCTTTGTTTGTCTACTGTATTCTGTTTTTATTGCTTTCCTTACATGTAAGTCTTGTAATGGGTATTTATACCCCCTTTGCATCAATAAGAATTAATTCCTCTTATATTTTTCCACTAATTTCAATAATCTTACAAGAATTGTAGAATAGGAAAGATAGGAAAAAGGAAACAACAGGAAAGAAAAAATATAACACTTAATATCTCCAATACAATTTATAATAGTTAGTTGAAGATAAGGATAACAACATAAAATAGAAAAGATTAAAATAACAAAGGAAATAAATCTAATCCAAGAAAATAAATCTAAAATAGGAAAGGAAATAAAGTTATATTAGGAAATAAATTAGGAAATAAATCTAATTATCTAATTCTCATAACTTCTAACAAGAATAAACTATTTTCTAATATAACTTCAATATGCAAGGCCACATATTTGAGTATCGACATTTTTCATCTTTTTTTATATAGAAGGCCTTGGAGGTCGTGTGTTAAATGGATAACAAAATGACCTTTTGCGAAATTCTTTGGAAAATGTTTAGTTTTGAGTCTCAACTAATGGATTATTTGTATTAGATTGAGACTATGAGTTTAAATCATCATTTTTTAGCATGATTTTTGTCAACTCCAGATCTCACATGAAGGATTAGACTGGTTAAGTAAGGTTTACGACCTTATCTTATGTAAGACTAGATGGCTTGCTCAAAGTGTGCATAGTTTGACAAATTTTTGGAATTATTCAACAACAACATAAAAAACAAAAAGAGAAGGGGCAGTAATCTCTCCTTCATCCCAGGCAATCAGCCTGGCCGTGGACTTGTTCTCTGCATTTCCAAGGTTCCTCCTGCAACTAAAAACCCAAAATCAAACTTGAAATTAAAATCCCAACTGCATGATCTATCCAAGAAGGAAGCCCGATGATTCACAGTTGCACAATCAGCTATTGAATCTCTCCAAGAAAAAAGCCAAAATGATTCACTATTACACAGCCAGCTCTTGAATCTTTACAAGAATGAAACCGAATGATTCCCAACTGTATAGCAATCAGCCTCCCGCTATTAATGTGACATATCTCAATGGAACTCAAGGAAATGCTACAGAAAAACTTCCAATCCAAGAAATTCCACCCTTTTTATAAATTGGTTCCCTGATTTGCCTTTTCAGCTTCCATATGAATATGTGATGGAGAACAAAAAATACAGATTCACTGCACATTTAGTTCTTTCCTATATTTCTCTTTTTCCCCGTTTATTTATTTCTATCCCAATTCCACAAGTTAAGCCATGCACCCTCTATATATTCTACACCCTACATAAGGAATAAAAAATAGAAAAAACTTAGGTCTTTCGCCTCTAAATTTTTCATCACTTAACTTTGCTACCTAAATATTTAAAAAATATATCTTCTCAACAATTATTAGTAAGGAAAATCCAAAATTTTAAATCAAATTTCTAATTTCTGTTAAATTCTTTAGTATTCTCTAAATTCCAAATGCCTGAAAGATGCCTAGTGAATGGAGGGAACAGATATCCTGATGCTAAAATCTATGAAACAATGGCACTAGGATATAGAATAACTCTGAGGTACATAAAATGAAGCGCCATGTTATGAATGACAATTAAGGATAATGAAAATTCTGTTTTATCTTTCAAACTTCTTTTCACTTTGGTTTCTGATGCGTCGGGCACAAATAAGCTTGTGTAACTAAACCTTTTCCTGGCTAGGTTAATTCAAAGATTTTATTAGCGAATAAAGAGGAAAATTTTGTTCTAGCAATACAAGTTGAAAACGGAGGTCTGACTTGAAAAAAAAATCCTACAAACTGGAGGCAAGAGGGTAAGCCTTTTGATACCTTTTCATCAATATCATCACCTAGCATACTGAGTCACTTGAATATGGCAAATTTAAAGGATCACCACATACTACCGGCAAAAACATAATCGCATATCTCTCACCCATTATCCGCAATTCATAATAAAAATTAATCCAACTTAATGTATATCCCATAACTAAAAATAGTAATCGCTGAAAATTCAAACATTGGTATCATATCTAATATATGTACCAGAACATGGAGATTGATCCTCTCAAAAAATGGTAATGGAAAGGATTGAAGCAGTGTAGGCAATTCAACCCAGAGTTTTTCAATATCCCCACTTTCGAGGGGAAAAAAGTAACACGAGGAATGAATTAGCCGGGCCAAAAATTAGTTGAATGCAGCATGATCCTGTTGCTAATTCCAATTCAGACCTAAACAAAATTATCAAAAATTATCGAATCGCTTAATTGCCGAGCAAATAAACTGTGAGATTGAGGAATCACTCTATGTTAACAGGGAGTCAAGAACTATGACTACATTTGGAAATCATGTTGTGCATTTGCAGCTTTTTATGCCATCTAATATAGAAAGATAATCTGCTCAAAATTCATATGCTCAAGTCATAGAGAAGGTACATATGCAAGATAATGATTTTCTAATAACATTTCTAGCATAAATCAAAATTATTTCTTGAAAAATTAAGTGCAAGGAAAGAAAAGCTAAACAAAGCCTATAACAATAGGCCCTTTTATGGCACATCACACATCATCACAAATTTTAACAAAGCATCTCTGACCACAAAAAATTGAAATATTGATTCAGTAACCTAATATTATCATATATTAGCAATCGGAATCACTTGATATACACAAAAATATATACAAAGAGTGTAGTTTCACTGTATTATTGCTCAAAATCAATAGTTAATGTTGGCAGCTGTATAAAATGAAAGAATGCCAGCCAAACACGGCATGCTGTCAATGCACCATATATGCCAGTAATAATCCACTTTTTATTGAAATAAATACTACAATTTGGCATGATCGCAAAATCAACTGCCAAAATTTTATAAATAAATCAGCATAATATTTCCACTAAAATAAAAAGCAGCACATGCCATTTTGGCATGAGAACAAATTCAGGTACAAAATTTTATGCACCAATCAGTATGCATCTGTATTTTTCCCTGAATTTTGTGCTAAGAAGGGTAAGGAACTTCTCAATATACATTATCATTATGAACATCAAACAGCAGCAATTCATTCACAAGTTGAGCAAGAATATGCTAATAGACATCATCATAGCATCAAGGAAATTGTACATGTACCTTTACCCAAAGTGGCAGAGTTTGACGTTCATCTAGGCATACATTGCCCACAGTTTTGGGTTCACCCTCATGAACATTTTCTTCAATCTTCTGACTATTACAATTTCTACCCACAGCAGTAAAATTGCCTTCTTCAAAACCTGATGTACATGTAGTTTTTGTGGGAAACCCATTATCTTCAGAATGAGAGTACGAATTATCACTCAGAAAATTATCATTAGAAACTGCAGTCATAATTCCTTTGTTTTTACTAATGTCATTGCTCTCACCATCCTCAGGAACAATCACATCCTTTCCAGGATCAGATAAACTGGTTTCAGATTCTAGTTTTCCCCTTCCTCCCCCATATCTACCTCTTTTACCATTCTTAGACTCAAACAAAAAACACAACTCCCTGTTTCTGAGACGTCTGATGCCATCCAAGCATAATTTTCTTTTAGGGGGAAAGAATTATCCATATTTAAAAAACCATTTGACAAGAAATTATCTCTTTCCAAATTAAAGGAATCACAGGTCAAGACACTAGCATCCCCTTCTTGTTCGCTTCTCAATTCTTTGTTTCCTTGCAAAGATTGGAGAGGTGCTGTTTTTGGCAATAACTCATGAATAACATGAATCCCATTTGGAAGTTCACCTGAAGGCCTACAAGAATCAGAAGCAAGCACCCGTAACCTACCATTTCCAAAATTCCTTTCTTTAAACTCATTAAATTCAGTAATAGGGGATTGTTGAGCAGAACAAATTTCCATAGGAGTGACATCTATAGCAATGATAGCATGCGAGGGTTTCTCCCTTTTTTGTTGTCTCGAGAAACCTTCTGGCAATAGACTTGCCTTCCCGAGACTGTTTTCCACTGCCTTTGTTCCAATGTTAGGTTCTCCAGTGGACTGAACCTCTGAAAGAGGGAGCACAGACATGACTTACCCTATGCAAATGAAGCTATATAATACCGGGCAGGCACATGATACATCATCCAGTCTCCTGATACAAAAAGTTTCAGACTTATACATATTCCAAATTAAAAAATATAATATGATTTTGTTTAGTACAATGACAATACTAAGAGGCCCATCTCATATTATTCCTCAAGACAACCAATCTATGTACAATAAAATTTACTATTAAGCTGCATTTTATTAAGCTAACAAGAATTTTCTTGAGCCAAACCATGTCTGAAGGGGCTGGCTTAACAAGGAAGCGCTTTGAATCTTTGGTCAAAAAAGATGTTAACTTCTAAAGCCTATCATCTCATGATAAAATTAGAATTACCAGCATACAGTTATGGCCAAGAAATAAAAAATGAATCATGAATCATAAAAGAACATCAAAGGATATCTGCAAAAATTAAATGCAATTAGTATCAAAATAATATTTTACCCAATAATTTATTTAAAAAAGGATTTGATAGGCAGATGACTGAAAACTGAAATATCAATTCTCAAGTACCATACGGACAAGGCACAAAGTAATTTCAAGTGTTTAAATTCAATTAAAGTTAGAACTTTTGAAAAGAAAATAATTCTGCCCCATATAACCACATGGCAAACATATACCCCATAGAATGTCATTCTTTAAACATCAAAGTGATGCTGATGAAAACCAGGTTCAATCTCAATACCATATGACATAGATAATAAAACAAATGCTTCTATGTATCTCCTTCAAATTTCCTAGAATGATTGCAGTTTGTTCATGTTTTTACTTGTTTAGCTGACCTACACTCTTAAAAGAGCTTGACAATCAAATGATACCAGTTGGCCAATTCTTCTCTTAACTATAGTTAAAATAAACTTCACAGTGCTTTTCTTAAGATACCAGTTAGTGATAATCATCGTTAATTTCCCTGTCTTGTGTCCTTCTAGAAGTTCTATCCATGCCTTTATGCCACATACACTTCACAAAAGAATACAAGTTTTCTGCAAACCAATCAAACCTGATATAAAATGAAATGAAAGAACAGTGGAGAAGAAGCAGTTAGTAGTGGCAATGCGATTATGCATTGTTTACCACATCAAATCATAAAAATGAAGAAAGAGAAAAAAATCATATCTACATTTTGAAGGTTGAACCTAAGCCCTCTAGTTGACTAAGTCGAAATTTGAACTTAAGCCAAATGAATAGGCAGCCCAAGCTACAGCTCGTCATCATAAAATGTGAGCCTAAAATTGCCTGCGTTCTTCCTCAGATCAGCAGACAGAAAGCCTGGTAACTCGGCAACAACAATTCTAACACAAAAGTTGCCAGCGTCAATTTTTGGAACATCATGCAGAAGAGGACGGTGCTTGACGCCAGAAAATGAGAGCACCTCATTTGTAAGTTACACCGGAAAGAAAAGGGAGAAAAGTGCTAAATCTGTGCGAAAATATCAGGAATTGCTAATGTTTAAAGTATGTTGGCCTCCAAAGTCATCTAATATAAACGAAAAAAACCAATAGTTGGAGAGAGTTCCAGCGCTTCCCTCTACCAAATTAACCATACACATTGGTCGTCTTCCAAAAGATGGGGAAAGCACACCGCCATCCATTTACATTTACCGCTACGTGATGATAACCCTTAAAATATTGCGCAAGGAGATAATTATTGTCTTATTGATGATCAAATCTGGATGGATCAAGCAGCCGGCCAGTGCAAATTAAGATAATAAAATGGAAGTGAAGAGCAAATCTATCCAGGCAATGTGAAAAGCCCTAGATCTTTCCTGCAACAGCACAAAAACGGCTGAAGTAAAAGTTTTATCGACGCTATTCCTCTCTCCCGGCTTTTGGTTGAGAGACAAAAGGGGTCTTCGAGGAAAGGGCAAGGGACAAGTGTTACACGGGTCGAAGGGTGGGAGGCTAGGTTCCGGACATTGAACCAAGATTGGGACGGATCAGACCAAACAGGCAAAAGAGGCAGAGAAAGAAGGAGCGGATGTAAAGAGGTCGGGAGGCGCACCGGTCTCGCTGCAGCGACTAGTGCTGATCTTCTTCGATCGCCACGGTCGAAGGAGTCCACAGACAGAGATCGGTTGCAATTTCTGTAAGCAATTTGTCTGGATCGGAGATCACGGATTCGACGATGTCGTTGATGTACAGAGCGTAGGGATAGTTTGTGCTCGAGCAGCTCGGCCAACCAAAGCTCCGGGCTTGACTAGAGGATCTGCACCCGCATTAAACCTGCCTGCGGCTAAGGAGGTCCT